GCCGTGCCGCACCCCCCGTGCTTGCTGCGATGCATCCGGTTGCTGCCTGATGCAGAGCACTCTCCAGTTGGTCTGGCGGCATCATTGCACCCCTTGTATCACTCACATGTGTGTACAGCTTCTCCACACCGCTGAAGCCAGTCGCCCGCTCGTGGTGCTCCTTGATCACTCGGGGCAGCTCCTCGAGCGGCACCACGGGGCACCACCGCCACTCTCCGCTGCGCTTGACGCAGCGGCACAGGATGTCCTGACCGCCAGCGCCCTTCAGCACCTGGAAGAACTGCAGCACCTTCTTGCTGTAGTTCTTGGCGCCGCCCTGCACTGCCGCCCCCCCTCCCGCACCCCGCCGCCGCCGGCCTGAGGGCGCCTGCTGGTCGCCCTGCTTGATCCGGATGATGCCCTCTACATCTGACTTAGTGAGAAACACATTCTTGGCGCCGTTTTGGCGCCGTTCTAAGGCATAAAGGATGACAGGTTGGTTCATAATTTTAAATTTGCGGCAGCTGCGGGGTGCGGGAGGGGAGAAATAGAAGCCTTAGAGACTCTGAAAGGCGAAGGAAAGGGAGGGATCGCGGGAGAGAGCGTGCCTGATGAGCCAGACGAATCGGGGGAGGTGCCACATCAGCGGGCAACAGATGCCAAGCGAAGAGGGCGCCGGTGGCCACACCTGCAGATGAACTGCAACTTCTGATCTGATCAAATTCTTTTTGAAACCACGCGCAGATGAAGGGTGCAGACGGATGGCACGAACTGCGCTTCGGGCCTTACTATCACCCCTTCAAGTCGGAGGGTACTGGAGCCAGTGCTGGGCGGCGGCGCCCGCCCGCCGGGAGCAAGTTGCCTTTCCGCATCCCCTCCCTCGCAATTCTGACCATGCCATATGGGCAATAACAGGCCGCTGTGGTCAACGGTGGGTGACCAGCCTTACAGGGGGGCTGGGTTGTCTACCGGCCAAAGCTGGTGCAGTGTCGGCGGCCAGCTCGCTGGTCTGTGTGGCATGAGGAGGCGGAATGCCAGTCAAAACCGGCCCAATGGGGCATGGAAGTACACAGCAAAGACTGCGTCAGAAGATAAATACACTGAGGGAGGTGGTACGCGGGCGAGGGAAACGTCCTCCCTCGCTATAAGTGTCAGCCCACCGCCTGCTCCAAGTCCCGCAGCTGGCGATACAGCTCGGAGGCTTGCTTGTGCCGGGATTGCTGCAGCAAGCAGCAGCAAGAGGTCCAGGGGTCAGGGGGGCACTCCATCTAATAGTGAAGGGAGCAAGCGGGAAGAGAAGCACGAGCACATGGGCGGACCACAAATGGGCAGAGGGCCTCAGAACCTTTGGGCAGCCTTGCCTGAATGCAGAACGCCAGCAGCTCTGGCAGGCTCTCCGCCAGCGCTGCCGGCTGCCGCTGGAGCACGAGCGCCACGCAGGCGCACAGCAGCTTGACCTGCCGGCTCTGCCTCCCGGCGTCCTGCAATGGAGCCACACATGCAAAGCATGAGCACTCCCAGCACGCTACCAAGCCAAGAGAAAAGGGCAGGCTACATGGGGCAGGTGTGCAGCAAGGCGGGTGACCCCGCAGCCACCTGGCTGGCATTCGTGTCCTGCATGCAGTTGCCGAGGAAGGTCGTCAGCACCCAGTCGGGCACCTCAGCTCGGGCCACCTGCACAGCAGAAAGCAGGGGCGTCAGGGGAGTTGGCAGCTATTCCAATAGGCGGCAATGCTGGCGGCATCATGCTGAGGGCCCGTGGCAGGCGAGGGCCAGGGGCCATCTCGTGTTGGCAGCTGACACGGGCGGTGCGGGTGCGCTTGAACAGCCAGATCGGCTCACCACCGCTGACAGGCACTCCACGCTCTGCGTCGACATGGGCAGCTCCGCGACTGACGCCGCAAACACCGCTGCCGCATCGGGTTGGTGCTCCGTCAGCGCCAGCAGCAGCTGCAGGTGATGGCAGGTCGCGCGAGGCGGGCAGACAAGTGCAGGTAGGCGAGTGCAGGCGGGCAAGGGCAGCGTGGGAGATGCCGGAGGGAGGCCGCGGCAGCAAAAACAGTGCGTGCCTGCGGGGCGAGACCTACAAGGCGCTGCTGCCCCATGCAAGGCGATGCTGGCACACGCGGCAGCGGTGGCGCGGCAAGCACACCTCTGCAGCCACCGAGGAGTTGTGCTCCGTCAAGCCCCTCACGTGCTCCGGCTGCAGGCCGCCGCCCCCGCTACCGCCGCCCCCGCTGCTGCTGCTTCCATTGACTGCCTCCGCCGTGAGGGCGGCAGCCAAAGGCCCGTGCAGGGCGAGGGTCAGCTCCTGCTGCAGGGCGGGCACCAGCGGCGCTTGCACCGCCTGCTGGAGCAGGGCAAGCAGCCTGTGCAGGTGCTGCATCTGCTGCTGCTGCTCCTCCTCGCGCTGCTGCTGAATCGGCAGCCCTGCCGACTCCTGGTGTTGCTGCTGCTGTGCCAGCTGCATGGGAGACAGGGGCTGTTGGGGCGAGGGGAGCTGCTGGGGAGAACAGGGCTGTTGTAGTTGATGGGCGGTCTGGTGCCAGGGAGGCACAGCTGGCGGACTGGACTGGCTGCTCGACCAGGGACTCGCCACGCCTTCGCTACCCGCCACCTGTTGCCAGCCTGCTGCTGCTGCTGCCGCTGCTGCCGCCGACGCTGCTGCTGCTGCATGTACGCCTTGCCAGGGCAGGGGCGGCGGCGAGCCCAGCGGCAGCCCGCAAAACTGCACCTGGCTGTCCAGCGGGGCGGTCGCCTCGCCCAGCACCTGCTGCGGCGAGCTCTGGTGCATGAGGGCCGGCGCTGGCGAGTACTGCTGCAGCTGGCTGGGCAGCGGCGCTGATGCCACCCCTGCCAGGCTGGCGGCCCACGCCTGCACCCCTGCAGGCTCGCCGCTCTCCGGCAGGCTGAGATGCAGCAGCGTCTCTCGCGCCCCGGAGGCTCTGGGTGCCGCAAAGCGCAGCAGATAGGCAGCATTCATCTTCTCGGCCTCGCTAAACAGCAGGCCGTCCTGCAGGCAGTCAGCGTGGGTGCTGCGAGGGAGGTGGGCACAAGCCATGCCACGGTGCGCCGCAGCGCTGCCCGGCGAGCCCGGCTGCCAAGGGCTCACACCAGTGCGCTGCACGCATCCCAAGCTGCAGCATGCCTCCCTACCCACCCTCAGCAGGGTGATCAGCGTGCGTGCCAGCCAGCCCTTGCTCTCGGCGTCGGCGCCAAACCGGTGCGCCACCGCCGTCGCCACCTCCTCGAACGGCCGCCCCTCTGCCGCAAGCAGGCGCAGCAGGTCGGATGTCGAGTGCATTTGCTGCATCTGGACGGACTGTGGGGGCGCAGGGTTGCGCCGCGTCGCCAGGTGTTTCGGCAACTGTGGTCCAAAGAGTGGCGGAGGGCTGCAAACGGTCACTCTCGAGGCCAAGTAACCATTAGAGTGTGCCCGGCGCCTCTCTGTCTTCCTGGAGGCTGGGAGCAGTTGCTGAAGTACACTCATAAGTACATCGGCTGATGGGTCGTTGAAACGGCTTGGCTATTGCGCACCCGTGCATCCTGGCCCTGAGAGAGGCATGATCGCCAATCCCTGGCCCTGAGACAGGGGATCTTCCGGCTGTCTCTGCCGACGGCTTCACCGCTGCATCGATAGCCCAATGGAGTCGCCAGCGCTGCAACAACAAGGGGCCGATGCCCCAAGCATTACCAGCAGCAGAAAAGCCTTCTGCGATTTCGCGGTCACCGCCCTTTTCATAGGAGTGACAGCCTCGTTTGTGGAGGTGCGGGGACGTTGGGGAGAGCCGATTGCTGCAGCGCCCCAGCGCGTTGCACAAAACAAAACAAAAACCGTCGCCGCTGACTTGCCGCGCCCCGCGTGCAAGCGGTGTGCCTGCTTGTGTCGACCGCCCCGCCTAGCAACGGCCTACAACCCTGCCTCCCTGCAGCTCTCCAAGCACGTCAGCCCCTCGCTCGGCCTGAGCCCTGGCGGCGCAGGCCTGGCGCTCACACTCCTGCTGCTCGTTGTGCTCGTGCCAGTCTGCGAGCAGCTCGGCGGTGCTCTCTTCAACCCCGCAAACAACGCCTTCTTGTATGCTACTGGCCAGGGATCTGGGCAGGAACATATCTTGCGCTCGGTGCGTGGACACACCCTGCCGCATGCTGCTGCTGTTCGCACTGCGGCTTGCATTGTGGCATCATGGGAACTGCCACGCACGAGCGGCCATTCTGTGCTCGTGTGCAACTGCGGTGCAGGTGGCGCAAGCAGTTGGTGGCGTGGTGGGAGCGCTGCTGGCCACAGCGCTGCTGCCAGTGAGCTGGACCAGGTCAGGAGCTGGCGTCAAGCAGCCATCAGCCAAACGCTGCATGTGCAGCACCCTGCTTGCGCGCCTGCCTGTGGGCATCAGCCTTGCAGGCAGGCTACAAGGGCTTCGACTTGGCCTGTGGCTGGTTGGCCTGCTGCTTGCGCTGCAGGGAGCTGAGCGTCATGGCTGTGGGCCTGCGGCCGGGGGTGACCTTGCTGGAGGGCGTGGCCTGCGAGTTTATCTTGGGCTCGCTGCTCGCCTTTGTGGTCCTGCTGGCCGGCCAGCTTAAGAGCAGCGCCCTCAAGCTCTGGATCCCACTGATTGCCACCGTGGTCGCCGTCAAGGCAGGGGCCAGCTACACCGGCCCATCCCTCAACCCAGGTGCGCCCGCCGCTGTGCTTGCACTGGAAAAAAGGGCATTTTGCTGCATGACCAGCGGGAGCCACCAACTGCACCCAGCCCTATTGCCCTCCTCACCAGGCTCATCGTGCCCTGTTGCAGCCTTCACCTTTTCCTGGGTGTTTGTTTATGAGCTGCAAAGCCCGGCGGAGCACTTGCTTGTGTTCTGGCTGGCGCCCATCGCGTCTGGGCTGTTTGGCGGCTTTGCTTTCCGCGGGTATCAGCTGTTCCAGCAGGACCGCACACGGCGGCAGCAGCAGCAGCAGGGCCGGCGGCGGGCAGGCCGCTCAAAAGAGGAGTGATGTGGGTGGCCAGACACGCGCCACTCCACACCCCCGTGATGCAGCTCTGCACCGGGCTTTTTGCTGCGCACTCTAAGCCGACGCCGTCCACCCATGCTTGCTTGCTGCACCCTTGTCTATGCATTCCCCTATCTGCTGCATCTGCTTTTTCATCAACTTCAGCTGCAAACTGGTCCGGTGTTACAAATGAATGCACCAGCCCACCTCAGTACCACGCTGGCCATCTGTCAGTCCCCTAATGCGCTTGCGTGCACCTAGTGTGTTACAAGTCAAGAGGAGTCAGCCAGGCGGGTCCCACTCCACAGTCTGCCAAAGTGGGCCCTGGTGCCGCAGCGCTGCTGCTGCTGGGGCCATTGATTGATTGGGTGCTGCTGTGCGCCGCTGCAGTGATTCTGGAGAGGAGGAAGAAGACACAGAGGAAAACAAGCAAGGCCAGAGGCCAGGGAACACGAGAGAGGAGCGCTTCCGCCGGGAGGCATGCCCAGCGCCAAGCAGTGCCGCCGCCAGGGCGGTGACACTGCGCATGCTGAGTGCTGCCGCCTGCTGCGCTGCTCAGGCGCTGGAGCAGCAGGTGGACTTCTTCTTGGCCTCGGGCGCCGCCTCGGTGACCTTGATTGCCGTGCCGCTGGTGGGAGCCTGCACCAAGGCCGGGGCACGTTGGGGAGCAGGCGTCAGTGCACCGCACACAAAGTGCCAGCGCGCACCGGTCGCATGTGGCCAGCGATGGATTGCCAAGGCTGGCTTGCTGCGGGCGCACGCCATCGCGCGCTGGCATGCCGCGCCAGCAAGCCAGCAGGCCGCCGGTGCTCACCGCTGCGGGGCCGTCCTCCGAAGCCAGCGCCTTCTTGGACACGATGTGATAGATCTCGGTGAGGATGCGCTGGAAGGCCTGCTCCACGTTGGTGGCCTCCAGGGCCGAGGTCTCGATGAAGGACAGGCCCTCGCGCTCGCAGAAGGCCTGCGCAAACGGCGGCGGATGGCGGCAAGCGGCGCTGGGCACCGCAGGGAGGCATACCCCCAAGCAGCTGCTGCTGCGGGGGGCTGTTGCGGCTGACTCCAGCTTGCATCAACACCTGCCCCACCATCCAACACTCGCTGTCTAGCCCGATACTGTGCACCTCTCGCCATTCCGACCATCACCCTCAAGCCCCCACACCTCTCCCCCGCACCTTGGCATCCTCGGTCTGCACCGAGCGCAGGTGGCGCAGGTCGCTCTTGTTGCCCACCTGCACGCGCGCAGCAGTTGCAGCGTCGTCGGCAAGCCGACAGCCTTCACACGCTGCCGCCGATCACTCGCTCCCCACAGCTCATTGTATCCCCAGCAACCACAACAAGGACTCTGGCAAGCATCTTGTCTACCGACAGGCATGCACAGCAAGGACCCCAGCACGCAGGGCTCCCCCCTTTCAGCCCACCAGCATGATGACGATGTTGGCGTCGGCGTGGTCCCGCAGCTCCTTCAGCCACCGCTCCACATTCTCAAACGTGGTCTGCTTGGTGATGTCGTACACCAGCAGGGCGCCTACCGCCCCACGGTAGTAGGCTGCAGGGAGAGGGAGGGAGGGGCAGTGGGATGGGGCTGGAAGGGCGGCGGGACGGGGCTGGAGGCGAGGTGCAAAAACAGTCGACGATGAGGAGGTGTAGCATAGGGTAGCATGCTGCCGCATGGTACCCTATGTTGCGGCAGCGCCAGCAGCGTGAAGCGCCCGCAGGCGGCCCACTCGTGGCTGCTTGCAACATGGTGGCTGCAGACAAGAAGAGCTATGTACAAGAAGCTGCAATCCCAGCTTCCCCAAGTTCAAGCCTGCTAGTCTGTGTTTTTGATTCATTCGCGAGGAAGAGACACGCACCGCTGGTGATGGCGCGGTACCGTTCCTGCAGGCACGCATAACAAACCAACACAGTCAGTCTGGCAGCCCAGCGCCGCGGCATACAAGACAGGCAGCAACAGCACGCCTTATGACACATGTGGCGGCAGCACAGAGGGGAGCTTCCAGCAGCATGCACCATTGCAAGTCGCCCAGCTGCCTGTGGCGCACCGCGCCCCGGTTCGCACCTGGCCTGCCGTGTCCCAGATTTGTGCCTTGATCGTCTTGCCGTCCACCTGCAGCACCAACAGCAGCCCAGCGAGCAGCAGCGGTCGGCTGCAGCCTGGCGCACCCAACGGGCCCTTTCTGCCCGTCCCCACCCTTTGGCTGCTGCTGTCTTTTGCTGCGCACCACCCTATACACCCTGTGGCAATCCTTCGATACCAATGACAGCTGCCCCCAGCATGCTGCTTGGCCTGCTCGTCGGCTGCACCTGTATGCTGCGCGTGGCAAACTCTACGCCGATCGTCGACTTGCTCTCCAGCGAGAACTCGTTGCGTGTGAAGCGGCTCAGCAGGTTGGACTTGCCGACGCCTGAGTCGCCGATCAGCACCACCTTGAAGAGGTAGTCATAGCTGCAGGGCGGGACGGGGGAGGGGCAAGGAACGACGCTGGGGAACAGTCGGCGGCAGCGGGCGGGAGCGGCGCCCTGCCGCGGCCGCTGGCAGAGATCCAGCGGCGGGGCAACGAGACCACAGCTTCCAGGAGACCAGGGAAGCGGACGGAGCCAGACAGGTGCAGCAGGCAGCGGCAGATCAGGCGCAGAGACCCAGCCAGCGGGCCCCAAACAGCAGCAACACTTTCTCGTCATCTGGCTTTGGGACCATGATGGCGTCCGGGGAACTGGCGCGTCTGGCGGCCGCTCTGAACGGTCTGCCGCCTTCAACTGCCAAGTAGGTCGAGGCAAGGCTCTCCTGGGGCTGTTCTGCGGCTAGCACACAGCGGTGGGCAACGTTGGAAGGGGGCCTGGAAGCCTGGGAGGCGCAGGAGAGGAGAGAGCGCAAAACCGTACGGCATAGCCAGCAGTACATGTGTCGATTACGGCCCTCAAAGAGACGAATGCACACACAACCCGCCTGCTCTGATTATTCCCACGCTTCCCCTGGCACTGCCTGCTGTCTGCGATCAGACCCTGCACCCTCTGATTTGTGATCACATCAGTTACTGCTCCAGAAATGGCGGCCACTCGCACAGGCAGTCGGTAACATACGCCTCAGCCGCCTCCACCAGCGCCAAGGCCGGCGCCACCACGCACACGTCGCCGTCGCTGCTGCCCTCTGCACTGCCGGCGGCGCTGTCGCACTGCGGCAACTCCGCCGCCGCGTCCAGCACACGATACGCCGCCTCCTGGCCCGACAGGTAGGCGCCGTGCACGGTGCCAGGGTGCAACACTGAGGCCGCCTCTCCCGCCAGCACCAGGCTGCCGCTCGCCGGCTCTGCCAGCGTGGCGCGGTCGCTGGGGGTGCTGCCCACTGCAGACGCACCAGCGTGGAGCAGCAACAGCAGCAGCAGGAATGCAAACCGTCAGTCCAGCGACACGCCTGCAGGCACAGCGTACAAGCAGCCTGCCACCGGCACTGCCTCCCTCCTTCCCGCTCTCCACCGCCCCTTCCCCACAAAGCCGCACCTGCGTGGTAACTGAGCGACCCTCGAGCCCAGGGGTCCTGCCCCCACCGGCTCAGCCGGTACTGAACCAGCTGTGCCGCCGGCGCCGCGCCAGGAAACAGGGCTGCCAGGTCTGCCAGAGCTGTGGCCGCCGCCTCCTCGTCGCTCATCCCTTCCAGCGCCTCTGCCCACTCTGCTGTCGCCAGGGCTACCAGCACCGGCCGCCCCGTGTATGCCGCCATGCTGATGAAGCGCCGCCAGCCAGAGCTGTTGGTGGCTGCCGCCAGATACCCCAGCTGCTCGCAGGGCGCGGCCGCCTCCCCGCTGCCGCACAGCGCCTCGCTCCAAAAGGCCTGCAGATGCCTGTGGAATTGGACTCTGAGCAACAGGAAATCAGCATGCCATCGAACCCGAAACAGGCGTTTAGCTCTGAACCTGGCAGGTGGCATCAATGTGTCCCATTGCTGCCCCCTCCTCCCCATCAGCAGCAGGCAGACTCCAGGGGCACTCACGCTACCAAACTCGAGCCAGAGCTTCTCCAGGCGCCCCGTGCCCAGCCGCGCCACCGCCGCCACCGTTTCGTTCGGCAGCGGCGGCTCCAGCTGGATGCCGCCCGCCTGCAGCACGCCCAGCGGCGCGGTGCACACCACGTACTGCGCCGTCAGTGCCTCCCCTGTCGCCGTGTACACCGTTGCGTTGCTGTCGCCGTGGTGAATGGCCAGCACAGGGCTGCTCAGCAGCAGCTGGCCGCCCTCCCCAAGCTCCGCCGCCAGGCTCTCTGGGATGCTGCTGTACCCTCCCAGCACCACATTGTCCACGCCGCCATAGGAGGTGGTGTTGTCGAAGTACAGGGCTGACAGCTGGCCCAGCGCGCCGCCGTACTGCACGCCGTACCGTGCCGCCGCCTCGGCGCCCAGCAGCGCCGCGTTGGCGGGGCTGCCACCCAGACGGCTCAGCATCGCCGGCCCCCGCAGGACGTCGGCCAGCGACTGGTTGGCTGCAGCGCCGCTGGCCAGGGCCTCCAGGTCAGCAGACCACTGCTGCAGGTTCTGCAGCTGCTGACGCGAGGTCAGCACGTGGCCATCTGGGCCAAACCGGCGGTGCATGGTGCCGCTGGTGGCCACCCGCGCCAGGCCCAGCATGTTGGCAATCTGGGTGGGAGAGGAAGCAGGCAGGACAGCATGCCTGATCCTCCACCCTGGCCTGCCATGTGCGGCAGCTGAGGGTGCACATGCATCCGCACAGCTTCCAAGCACCCGGCGTCTCCAAATGCACCATCATCACACACATGCATCCCGCCTGCCAGCCGGCCCACCTCTGTGAGCGGGTTGCCCCGGCCATCTCTCCCCGCATCTATGCCGCTCTCGGAGCCCCAGATGAACTGCGCCCCAAGCTCCGCTGTGATGCCGGCAAATGGCATGCTGTGCACCCTGCCGCCCACTCGCTCCTGCGCCGAAAGCAAACGGGGCACGTGATGGCTCTGCAAAGTCTGGTGCCTCAACGGCAGCACCAGCTCATCGGCTCTCTGACGAGCCCCCTGCCGAGATCGAGATGGTAGGCCGCCATCTGCTGCGCACCAGGCAGGCATGTATGGCAGGCGGGCAGCCACAGCAGCTGCCCATGCGACCGGTGGAACAACACAGGGCTGGCTGGCGGGGGGCAAGCATGTGGCCTCACCCGCGCCTCCACAACCAGGACACTCATGTTGGCGGCCAGCACCTGCGCTGCTCTCAGCCCTGCCACCCCCGCGCCCACCACGATCACGTCGGCGCTGGGGCTCATCTCCAGGGCCGCCAGCTCCTTGGGTAGCAGCCACGGGTGCAGCTCAGCTGCGAAGGCAGGCTCTGCGGTGGTGTTGCGCTCCCGCTGATAGTATGGGAGCGGCGTGTAGCTGCCGCCGCCGGATGCCAGCACGCCGCGCTTGTGCAGCACTATGAGGGTGATGACCGCTGCTAGCACCGCGGCTCCGAGCAGCAGGCTGCCCCAGAGCAGCCAGCGCCGACGCTGCCGGCGGCGGGGGTGGCTGGCAGGCGGCGGCGGCGGAGGGGGAGACTGTTGGGCACCTTGCTCAGCCGGGGGCTGAACCTCCCACCACACTCCGGGGCCCGATTCCTGTGGCGGTGGCCGGTGACCAGCCGCCGCCCTCTTCGCTCCACTACGGTCCGCCCCTGTGCTGACCGCAACCTGGCAATGTGCGTGTGGCAATGAGCGCACCCCATCGCGTGAAGTCATGATTAGCAATGCCGGGCTCGTGGCAATGCCGAGATGGAGCGCCAGAGAGAAACGCACATGGGGTGAGCTGGCAGAGTTACCCAGTTACCGCCGAAGTAGCTGAGCAGATGCGCAGAGTGGGAAATAGCTAATGCTTTGGAGCAGTGGTTAATGAGTCTGCAAGCTGCCAGAGGGCTCGGCGCCACACAGCTCACGAGGTCCGCTCCCTGTAGCCTCCCTGCCCCTGTTCGGCGGCTTCCTGCATCATGCCAAAGTGAAAGCAGCGCGATGCGCTGCAGAGTTCCGCTGGAAGGGCACTCCGCGCCGCGCCGCCGCCGCCGCCTCCCAACCGCCTGCTTGCCCTTGTCGGTGCAGGCCGGTCCTTACTTCGCTCGTGGGGCTCGCTATTGTTCTGGGGCTTGCCCTCGTTAACACGAAGGCGGGCAGAATTGGAGGGGGCACGGCGACTCCATGCCTGGCAGGACCCGGCCACCCTCCCGGCGGCAACACGGCGGCGGCGCCGGTGCTGCCCCCCGAATTCGGTGGCGTCCAGCGCTTCTCCATCCCCGGCTCATTTGCCCGGGTGCCGCCGTCATCGGGCGACGACCGAGTGGCCGGCGTGCTGCATTTTTATCTCAAGGCGGGCATCGTCGGCGGCGAGACGCGCATGAAGGGCTTGGCCCTGTTTGAGTTTGTCGACTACCCACCCCACTTCCTGGCCCTCGGCATCACGCAGAAGAGCGGCATCCTCAACGTGCCCGAGATGGACTCCCTGCGTGTGGGCGTGCGCTCGGAGGCCCAGGGCTGGGAGCGGTCGGTGGCGCTAAAGCGGTCCATGTGCTCCGACAGGTGGATCCAGCACCGGCGGCAGCCCAGCAAGGAGTACCGGGCGTGCGTGGCGGACGCACAGAACGCCACCACCGCCAGGAACTTCTACCGCATGCCGGACGTCTACCTCAACTTTGGGCGGCTGGCCAATTCTACCGACGTCAACCTGTTTGTGCACGGCTGGCCGCGCTTCGTCTCCCTGGCGCCCCTGCTCGCGGCAGCACAAACCTTGCCAGCCGACCCGCTGCAGCCGCCCTCATCGCCACCCACCTTTGTCCAGCACCTTCCCTACCCAAGAGGCATGGCCCCGGAGCTGGTGGCTCAGGTGCTGACGTGGAGGGCGGAGCACCATGTGCCCCTGGGCATCCCGACGTCTTACTTGTATGTGCGGCCCCGCGACCAGGCGGCGCTGGCGGCGCAGCCCACCATCCGGCGCCTGGTGGCTGCCGGCCAGCTGCAGCTGGTGTCCTGGGGCGACTTCAGCTTTTTCGAGGACTGGGATACCTATGACCTCTCCATCCAGGCGGCGCACGGCGTGCTCTCTTTCTGGGGCACCAACACGCGGGTGTGGGTGGCCGACCTGGACGAGTTCATCGTCACGCACCTGGACGTGCCAACCATGCTGGGATCCTCCAAATGCCTGCCACGCCGGTCAGCCTGCTACACCATGCACCGATACGACGTGGTGCTGGGCGCCGCCAGCACCGACGGGGCACTCCGCGAGCCGACCATTTGGCGCACCCCTGGGCACTCGCCGCTGCTGACAGCATACCGGCAGGCGATGGTGGTTGCAGACGAAGCAGAGCCCAAGACCTGGTCGGATCCCAACAATGTGTTCCCGGTCACCCTGCACCTCACCACGGCTTGCACAGGCGGCAACGACACCAAGTCGCCGTGCAGCACCCAGGTGCCGTGCGCTCCCGTGCGCCAGCAATGCGCCTGGATTGCACACATCCTGCACATGTTCACAGCCCAGCGGAGAGGTTTGGGCAAGGATGCTGTGCTGGTGCCGCTGGGCCCAGGGTGGCTGATCATGGCCAACCAGTCCCGGTTTTGGTGATAACCTATTTTTTTGCCAGCCTGTTTGCTATTGCAGTCGTGGCGTTGGCAGCTGCCATTGTTGGAGTGTGACTCATTTGATTTCATTTCTTCATTCAATATTGTGTAATGATACAAGTTGGCTTTTGGCAACAGCCTGTGAAGGGGAGCTGATTGCCTGAATGAATGAACTGATGGGGGGAAGAAACTGTCGGGAAGCATTGATTGAAACAAGCAACAGAACAAAGGCAGGCCGATCGAGCAGGAGGCCACTCCAGCTGCTGCAGCCTGTCGCCTGCCAAAGCCAGCTAGAATGCATCGGCAGCGTACGTGTACTGCTCCCACAGGGAGGAGCCGGCATGGGGCTCCCCCCATATCCAGCAGCCCAGCACCATGCCAATGTTGAGCAGCAGCGGCACTGCGAGGACTGCGACTGCCACGAGCGCGGAGAAGAAGTAAATTGCCAGCAAAATGTGGAGGCCTTGGCGGTCCAGGCAGGCGATGCAAGACCACAGCCGCCGCTGGTGTTTGGCCGCTTCCACCGCCAGCAGCTTGCCGCAGAGATGGATCACCGCGGTGACGGGGAGCGGAAGGCCGCCCTGCTGGGAGTAGCAGTCGCCCTGGCAGCCGAGCAGCGCGGCCAGCAGCAGGACCACGTAGCAGCTCGCGGCCATGCCGTATCTGCAGACAGCAGCACCAGATTGGCTGGGTGGTAAGAAAAGGAGAAACCAGCAGCTGCTCTCCACCGGGCTGGCAGCGCCTGGCACTACGAACCGCAGAAACAGCCCCAGAAGGGGCACTCCGAGGAGCCAGGCGCCCGCAAGCGCCGCTGCGCTGAAGAGCCACAACGCCGCGGCCGCTGTCAGGCACATGGTCTGCGTGGGATGCAGCAGGCGCCGAAGAAGCAGTGCCGCTAGCGCCGTGGCTGCAAGTTGAGAAACTGCCTGGGGCAGCAGCCGCTCAGCGGTGCGCAGCACGCCAGGAGGCAGGGCATCTGCGCTCGCTGCCGTTGATCCGGCGTCCTCCCTCACCGCCTTGCTCGCAACCTGGCCAAACTGGATCACAGCGCTGAGCGGGCCGCAGCGCGTAGCGAGCTCCCCATCGCCGCCTGCCGCGGCAGCTTTGTAAAACTGCCGCTCTAGTGGCAGCTCTGATACTGCTGCCACCCGCTGTAAGTCGAGTACCGTGCGGCAGCAGGGGCACGCCCATGCGGCAACAGGCTCGTCTGCACACGTGTGGGAGTGGGGATGGAGGGGGCTGTGGATGGGGGAGGCCAGCAGGCACACGGCGCGGCGGGCCGCTGCCAGCAGTGCCCTGGACGGGCTCCATGAGCAAGCACTCCCCCGTGGCGCTTTTGCACGGGCGTGCTACCTACGAAGCACGCCAGAATGCAGCGTGCGTGGTAGTCACTCCGGCAACACCCGAGAGAGAGAGACCCTGCCTCGAGTGGGTCCAGGCAGATGGGGCAGCCCTCCTCCATTTGATAAAGCAGCAATTTGATGTATGCTGCTCCTTACAAAAACTCACGTCGCAGCAGACGTTTGGGTTCAGAGTTCCTCGGCAAGAGCCTTGGACGGCCACACAGTACTGCCTGTACCATGTTGCTCTTCAAAGCCACTGCTCCTTGCTTGCAAGGCCACTGTTCCTTGCTTTACAACGTGTCGTGCTGGCTTCCACGCAGTAAAATTGTTCAAGAGCAAAGGAATGTGCAAGCGATTCTAAATGCAAAGAGCACACGCTGTGGCATGGCTGCCGAGTGCTGCACTCTCAGATGGCAAGGCGGCTGCGGCTGTGCTGCTGCACGTGGGAGCCGACAATGGCGCATAGGCTGAACACGTAGGTTGCCAACAGGATGGAGGTTGCCAGTGCCGCGCTGACTGCGGAGAGAAGCAGCAGCAGGCGGGGTGCGTGGCTGTCCAGGCGCAGCAGCAGGGAGGCAAGGCTGGCGTGGCGCCGCAGCAGGAGCTGCGCCGTGGCCGAGGATGAGGCCACAAAAAGCAGGCCGACAATGCTGTAAGGCGGTGGCCCAGCCTCGGCCTGCACCGAAATGCCTCCGCTGTACAGCCCCAGCAGGCGTCCCGTCGCAATGTTGAGTCGGGCGATCACGATCATGCCGCAAGCCATGAACTGAGCTAGCAGCACTATGAGCGCCGCGCTGCCGACCACCAGCAGCGCAGCGCCGACGAGCCAGGCCGCGCACTGGCGGGCTACACTCAACTCCTTGGGGTGCAGCAGCGACCGCAGGCGTAGGCTAGCCAGCGCCGTGGCCGCCGCCTGCACCGCCGCATCAGGCAACAGCCGCTCGCACACCGCCCAGCTGCCACTGCCATTGCTGCTGCTTGGCGGGCCAGCGGGGCTGCCGGCGCCTTTCTGCTTGTCCTCGGCAGACAGCGAAAGCGCTCTCCGAGCCGTGGTGATGAAGTGATTGACTGCTGCGAGTCGCCCTGGCAAGCGGCTGCTGGCCGGGCTGCTGCGGCTGGTGGTGGTGGTGCCTGCTGCGTCTGACCCAGCCTCCAAGTCGCCGCTGCTGGGCGGCGTGGGGCAGAGGTAAAAGTCGCGCCCCCATGCCTCTGGCGGCATCTCCGTGGCTGTGGCCACCCCCGCCAGGTCGACCGGTGCGCGGCACATGGGGCATCGCCAGTAAGGCAGCGCCTCATCTGCACAACAGGGGGCAGGGCTTAGTCATCACCCAAGTATGCATTTGTATAGGGAGCGCTCGGGGGTGGCGCTTTGTCAGCGGCGCGCCGCCCACCGCCGCCGCCCACCCGCCACCACCTTGGACGCGGCGGCGCGTTCACCTTTAAAAATGCTGAGACAGCAGGCAGCGTGGAGACAGTGGCCGCAGGCCAGGCGCAGTTCGGACCCTGTGGTCAGGGCCTCCAGGCAGACCGGGCAACTGTCTTCTGCGTGTGCGATGGCCATTGCCTCCAGATTGCAACTGAATGCGCGAATTGCATGGTAGGCCGGCTTCTGGCTTTCCGACAAGGGGTTGACTGCCAGCGAGGACAGTCCAGTTAGACTATCTCTTTATTGCGCATTTCCCCATTCCCAGCTGCATTCTCCTTCACCGGTACCACGGCAGAGCAGCCAATTGGTGTGATCAGTACACATCGAAACCTCTTCTGCAGCTCCTTTGCTCTCTCATTCACCCAGTGGAAGGTTTCAGGCGATAGGCACGGCGCTAACAGCCGCACCGACTGTTGCGGCGGAGCCGGCTGCAGCTGCCGCCGCCTCTCGGCGGGCGACCCCGCTGCCCACCGGGCTCTGCTGGAGGGCGCTGGCCCAGCACTGGGTTGGGTGGGTATGGCAACTTCACGCAAACATGCTCTCTCGACCGTTTGCAGCAATGTCGGCAGGTTATCTCGCATGCAGAACGCATCCGGGCTACTGCATTGCGCATTCCCCTGCCTCTTGTTTTTGCAGGACCGATTTAGGGCACACCCACCACGTCTCTACCATGCGTCCGGCACTGCTGTGCATCGATATGCAGGAGCACTTTCGTGACGGCATGGCTGCAGCAGTCGTTGGCCGGCTGAACAACTTGATCGATGTCTGCCGCAGGCTTCACATCACCATCATCTTCACACAGCACGGGCACCCCCTGCTCGACCCAGAGGCTGAGGAGCGCAGCAGCGTGCTGGTGCGGTGGTGGGGTGCCGACGGCAGCATACGGCACGGGTCGCACGCCTGGCAGCTGCTGCCTGAGCTGCACGTCAAGCCTGGAGAGGACCCAATCATATCGACCAAGCAGACCTACGATGCGTTTCAGGTGGTGCAAGCCACATGCACTCTGCTCTAGCGCTTGGGAGCTGTGCCTGCATGCGGAAGACCAGCCACATGGCTGTCAAGCCACTCCACCCTCGGCGCATACATTTGCAGGGCACCGAGCTGCTGGAGCTGCTGCAGAAGCATGACTGCGACACTCTAGTGATTGGCGGCGTGATGACAAACTTGTGCTGTGAGACAACGGCAAGGTGAGCTGCGGCTAGGCCTGCGCCTGCTCGCTGGTCCATTGCAGTGGTGTGCTGCTGTTTCTAGACCCAGCGTTGATGGTGCTTCAGTCACAGGTGCGGCCGTGATGGCCTCCAACCTCCCTGATAAGCACGCAGGCACGTCCCGCAGGTCTTCGTTCACCAAGAACTTCGAAGTCCTGTTCCTGTCTGACGGCACAGCGACAGCCAGCAAAGAGATGCATGACGCCAGCCTGCTCAACCTCTCGTACGGGTTTGCCAGGGTGCTGACCTGCGCCGAGGCGGAGCAGGAGCTGAAGCGGAGCTGCAGCGGGGGCGACCCACCAGCATGAGCTTGAGATGAGAGTATACTGTTGCACCAGTTTACATATCGAAGTGGAACAAGCAACGAAACAAGAGCAGGCCTACTCCGCAGGAAGCCACCCCAGCTGCTGCAGCCTGGCGCTGGCTGCGCATGCCAGCGCCCACCAGTAGCATCACAGGCGTGCAGGTACTGTTCCCACAGGCGGTTCGGGCGGGCGATGCATCCCCACAGCCGCCGCCGGTGCCTGGCTTCCATCACCAGCAGCATGCCGCTACGCACCTCGAAAACAGCCCCAGAAGAGGCTCCGAGCAGCCAGGCCCGCAACCGCCGCTGCGCTGAAGAGCGATGCGTGAATTGCACCATGAGGGGCATATGGGCAGAAAGGTTGACTGCGCCGATGGCCGGAGACACCTGGACGGCATGTGTTGCCCGCTGATGTGGCACCTCCCCCGATTCGTCTGGCTCATCAGGCACGCTCTCTCCCGCGATCCCTCCCTTTCCTTCGCCTTTCAGAGTCTCTAAGGCTTCTATTTCTCCCCTCCCGCACCCCGCAGCTGCCGCAAATTTAAAATTATGAACCAACCTGTCATCCTTTATGCCTTAGAACGGCGCCAAAACGGCGCCAAGAATGTGTTTCTCACTAAGTCAGATGTAGAGGGCATCATCCGGATCAAGCAGGGCGACCAGCAGGCGCCCTCAGGCCGGCGGCGGCGGGGTGCGGGAGGGGGGGCGGCAGTGCAGGGCGGCACCAAGAACTACAGCAAGAAGGTGCTGCAGTTCTTCCAGGTGCTGAAGGGCGCTGGCGGTCAGGACATCCTGTGCCGCTGCGTCAAGCGCAGCGGAGAGTGGCGGTGGTGCCCCGTGGTGCCGCTCGAGGAGCTGCCCCGAGTGATCAAGGAGCACCACGAGCGGGCGACTGGCTTCAGCGGTGTGGAGAAGCTGTACACACATGTGAGTGATACAAGGGGTGCAATGCTGCCGCCAGACCAACTGGAGAGTGCTCTGCATCAGGCAGCAA